GACGAGGAATTGCAGAACCTGAACATTAATGAAGCTCAGTAAAACTGTAATTCCCTAAAACTGTACCCCGACTTTTTTAAAAAGTCCATTCTCGCTGAATAAACTCTTTCCTGTGCAGTTGGTGTTCTGCTTTCATTACGGTGTGCCTGCTGGTTGCCTGTTACAAATTGGTGTCGGAGGTGGTCCTTCTGCTATTAACATGGAAAATTCATTCGATTACGGTCTTCCCAAGCTATTTCCAGAAGAAAGTGCTATCAGCACGCCGATGGTGCCCACGCTACCTCGTCCTCCAATGTTGCAATTGTCACCTGATTACCCCAGATGGAAAAAACGAGTTCAAGCATTCCTCAGTATTTCTCCACCAGCGCACCACTTCCTTCATATCCTCAATGCCCTATCAGAAGATGCATTCTCACGCGCCGATGCTGCCGGATTCAGCAGCACAAAGTCCATGGACGAAAACTGGAAAATTTCGGATAATTGTTTTGATCTGCAATTGGGCTACGAACACGCCCTTCTAAAGTTCTTCAATCGCAGACAACTGCCTGATGAGAGCCCCCTCTATTACTTCCTTGCCTTACAACTAATGGTGGCGAGTGTGGACAATAACGCAGATCCAGGATACAGAGACCGCATGCTGCGGACACGTTTTCTCGACGGGGTCTTGCCTGGTGACCTGCGCACAGACCTGCTACGCCACCTTCCTACGAACACAACGGAATTACAATGAACCATCTTGCGCTTTATGGACATTCAGCGAGATACTACAGTACCAACCAGCAGCTTCCTCTACCCAATCCCAACAGCATCATCTTCGGCTGCACTTGCAACCGTACCAGCACCACACCAACGGCGGTTCAATGTCCCACCGCCAAATCAACCTTCAACGCCAAAGACAGTCACTCCCAAGCAGCATGAGGACCCCAGTAAGTGTTATTACTGTCACCGGTTCGGACGGCGAGCATGGAAATGTGGGCACAACAGAAAACCACAAGGTAAGCGTTCCTCTAATGTGTCCTTATCTGGTAAATATTTGAAATCCCCCTTTTCCTTGAGGGCAAGCTCCAGGGCACAGACGTAACCTTTCTGATTGACACTGGGCATCGTCCTCTGTTGTGCGCACGGCGTTGGTTCAGAAACTCAGGGTCAAACTTAAACCTCTCCCCAATCAGCTCCAGCTAATTGCTGCCAATGGCGCACCAATTAAGGTAACGGATACCGCCACCCTTTCAGTGACACTTCAAGGTTTTACTTGTGCCCAGTCGTTCGTCATTTGCGATGTTATACGATGGGACGCCATACTGGGCGTGGACTTCCTAACCGCACAAAACGCTGTCATTGATTTAAGTCGCCTTCGAATCCGGTTGGGGGCACATAACCCCGCAATTGGCCGATCATCCAACCACAATCAGTGTGCTAATACTTGTGCTTTACCACAGATGACAATAGTGAACGTCCATGATAACCCCCACCTCAGTCTTAAAGACCGTGCTGACAATTTGGCCCTGTTACAAGAGTATAGTGACGTGTTTGACGATGGACATATGATGGGGCGTACTAGTATTGTACAACACGAGATTAAGACGGGGGATAACCTGCCCATTAGGATGCCCCCTCGACGGGTTCCCATTCAATAACAGCAACAGTTGGATACAATTATAGCAGATATGCTACAGAATAAAGTGATTAAACCGTCCACGTCACCATCGGCATCCCCTATTGTACTCGTGAAGAAAAAAGATGGCTCCCTCCGCCTTTGCGTTGACTAACGCCGTCTAAACGCAATTACGCAACGAGATTCCTTCCCACTACCTCGCATAGACTCTACTCTAGATGCTTTGGGTGAGGCACAGTGGTTTTCTACATTGGACCTGGCTTCCGGCTATTGGCAAGTCGAAATTCGTCCGGAAGACCGACCGAAAACTGCATTTGTTGTGCCTACGGGGTTATACGAATTTGAAACCATGCCATTTGGTTTGTCTAATGCCCCCGCTGCGTTTCAACGACTCATGCAAACGGTACTTGCAGGGTTAGTCCCGAAACAATGCCTAATTTACCTGGAGGACATCATTGTGTTCGGGCAGTCCCTTGAAGAACACCATGCCAACCTTCGAGTCGTATTCCAACGCCTATGCGAAAGTAATCTTAAGTTGAAAGCACCGAAATGCAACTTCCTGCAGAAATCTGTTACCTTCCTTGGTCATGAGATCACCCCACAAGGTGTGAGCACAGACGGAAGCAAAGTACAAGTATTCCTCAACTGGCCTACCCCTAAATCGACGACAGATGCTCGTAGTTTCATGGGGCTTGCATCTTACTACCGTCGTTTCGTTCAAAACTTCGCCAACATAGCAGCCCCCCTTCATCGATTAACTGAAAAGGGACGTAAATTCGCTTGGACTAACGAGTGCCAGTTAGCATATAACACGCTTAAAACATGTTTGACTTCCCCTCCTGTTCTAGCATTCCCGAATACGTCGCCCGACAGCGGTCCTTTTATCCTGGATACTGATGCTAGTGCACATGCGATAGGAGCCGTCCTTTCACAGACAACCCCTGACGGACATGCACGAGTAATAGCATATGCTAATCGGACGCTGGACAAGAGGGAGACACGGTATTCTACGACGCGCCGTGAAATGTTAGCTCTTGTATACTTTCTCACTTATTTCCATCATTACTTGCTGGGGCGCAAATTTCGAGTCCGAACTGATCACAAGGCGTAACAGTGGCTGCAGAACTTTCGTGATGCCGAAGGTCAACTCGCCCGCTGGCAGGAACGTTTACAGGAGTTTGACTTCACTTGTGAATACCACCATGGAAAACGACATGGAAACGCCGACGCCCTCTCACGCCTGCCAGACTGTGAAAACAGTAAATGCATTACTTAGTGCTACACCTGACATTGACTGGGCCTCTCTGCAAGCGGCAGACACAAAGATACAACCTATCTATCTACGACAACAGCGCGGCAACAATAAACCGACGGCCAAAGAATTACAAGACCTGCCAGCAGCTACGAAGAGCATCTGTGGTAAGTGGGGTCTCCTTCGTCTAATCGATGATGTCCTCTACATAATGGAACCGAATTCTAACCCCCGACTCCTTGTTCCAAGCGCCAGAGTACAGGAGCTCATTAGCCAAGTACACCATCGACTGGGGGATGCTGGTCAAAACAAAACTGAACACGCAATCCGTCAACGTTTCTGGTGGCCGTTACTTCACCGCGATGTAATCGAGTTTTGTAAAAATTGTGATTTCTGTAACCGTAACAAACAGCCTACGCACACGCCTAGAGCACCACTCGTACCTATGTTAACGGAAGCACCGAACCAGCGCGTCGGGATCGACATAATGGGGCCACTCCCAACTACCAAGAGAGGTAACCACTATATCCTAGTGATGATTGATTACTTCACAAAATGGTGTGAGGCAGTACCTTTACAATGGTAAGATGCAAGTAGCGTAGCCCAGGCGTTCATTGACAATTGGATTACTCGTTTTGGTGCCCCCCATTCACTGCATTCAGATCAAGGTGCCGCTTTTGAAAGTCAACTGGTTCATCACATCTGCAGCGTATTTGGCGTTCGGAAGACTCGCCCGACTGCTTACCACCCAGAAGGAAACGGGTTGGTGGAACGTACAAATCGAACCCTCAAGAATATCTTAAGTGCTTTCCTCGATCGCTTATCAACTGACGCTTGGGATGAGACACTGCCCCAATGTCTTCTGGCTTATCGTTCTTTCGTGCACTCCTCCATGTGTTTCTCACCCGCGTTACTTCTGTATGGCCAAGAATTACGCCTTCCCATCGAAGTCCAAGTTCCTTCCCTACCCTTCGAAAAGATTGACCATATTTCTTATGTTCGGCAACTACGCAACCGTTTAGCAATCGCTTACGATCTGGCGCGCACGCAACAAAAGTTGTCAAGTTACCACCAGAAGAATGTGTATGACCGTTTCGCTCGTGGTCCAACTTATGCTGTCGGTGATCACGTTTGGCTTCACCGTCCCCCTGGGCCAAATGCAAAATTCTATTCCCCATGGCACGGGCCCTTCGAGATCGTGCGGATGTGTCCACCCACCACTTACTTCCTAAAGAATATTCAGCAACCGAATGACGATATTATTCCTGCTCACTACAACCAACTCAAGCCGCATCGCACTTTTCCATCCAATAATCCGGCCTCTCATGATGAACCACCACCCGCCAGCTGTCAGTATGAAGTTCCAGCCGTTGGAGGTGCAGGCTATCCAATTCCTTCCTGGGGCACTGAGGACAGTGCCCTCAGAGGGAGGGGGCAGTGTAAGAGAAACAAAACTAATATTGTAACACTAATCAATGTTTTATTTTCTCTACTTGCAGGAAGACACCAGGGAGTCAACTGCTTGGACGAGGAATTACAGAACCTGAACATTAATGAAGCTCAGTAAAACTGTAATTCCCTGAAACTGTACCCCGACTTTTTAAAAAGTCCATTCTCGCTGAATAAACTCTTTCCTGTGCAGTTGGTGCTCTGCTTTCATTACGGTGTGCCTGTTACACATGTTTTCGCTGATATTCATTTATTGCTTTTCGATGTATAATCTTTAAAATTATGGTCCAAATTTCTAAAAAGCGTGTTCGAAGAAACACAATAGTTTTAGATAGTGACTCAGCTTCCGTTATAACTGCATTACCGACCTGTAATACACTATCAACTACTAGCCCACACAATGGCTCGAGTGCAGTTCTCACCCCTGTGATACAGGTGAAAGATGTTCTTTTAGAGAACTATGAGTTCTGCAAAATTAAATCGTCTTATGAAAGATATCCAGAGACAAGTAAATGAACTTCAGAGAAAAAAACTAGGTCAGTTTGTTAGCAAGATCAAGTTAAAAACTTCATGAACGGATTCCACGTTTTGACTTATCCACCTCTGCCTCTTTTCCAACTTAATTCATCGGTTCAGACATTCCAGACACCAAAATTATCTATAATTCACAAGACTGAATAATATTTCCATACAAAATGTATTTCAAATACAAAAAGAATAATGAATATATATTTCATTTTTACTTTATTATTATTAAAACAAATCTAAAAATGAACATTTATAATACACGAAATGACAGAAAAATTATCAAAATATTTTCAAAAAAAAGGGAAATAATAACACTTTAGAAAATCTCAGATATAAAGTTAAACATTGTTGAAAATTTACAAAAAAAAGTTTACAAACAAAAAAAGGCTGTGTAAGAAGAAGTCTATCTTTCTTGAAAAATATGAAATTTAACAATTTTATAACTGGATACCACACATCACTTCTTCTTTGTGTGATCGATACTCTGACAAAAGTTCAGGTAATGCTGCATTACAATCGAAAACCTGTAATAAGTAAATAAATAAAAATTATATATTTATATATGGTTTATATGAAGTAGCCGAGTTGCTTTATAGCTAACCAGAAAAGACCACTGTTATTCATCTACAGAGGACTTCAACACATGACAATTATTGGTGACAGGATTTCATCATGAGCTGACATTAGTTAGAGAACCATTGAAAAATTACGTGGGAGTACTGGACAGCTGTTTCGTCCTAGTTTGGGGCTCTTCAGCAGCACGCACAACCGGGGTTCGAACCCAGGACCCTCTAGTTACTGCTGAAGAGTCCCAGACTACGCTGACGAAATAATTGTCCAGTACTCCCAGGTAGTTTTCCAATGGTTTTCTAACTAATGTCAGCTCATGATGAAATCTTGTAACCAATCAACCAAATCCCTACAAACCAATACATGAACATGACAATTATATTGTGATACAGACGGAATATTATTCTCACATATCCTCACAGTTCAATTCGGTATTAGCAACATAATACAATATGTCTATTTGAACATTCTGTTTGTCGCTAGAGTCAGAATACTTTTCATACAGCTATATGCTGCATGAGCAAAAGAATACTATGTATATTTGAGCATTCTGTTTCATGTCGTTTGATGTAAACCGCAATCATACGCTCAGTGATTGGTTAAAGAAATATAAACTATATATATATATATATATATATATATATATATATATATTTATATATATAGATCAATGAAAAAGAGACCATGGCTTCCGCGTTTTGCCTTCTGCTGTTACAATATAAAACTGACTACTCGAATAAATTTCTCAAACATTGAGAAGGCAAAGGACTAGTTTAACACATCACAATATGTGACCTGTTTGATAATGCGAGTGGTAATCACGATAGCGATTGAGACAGAATGACTCTACATACTGCTGACCGATCGATATGAGTAGTTGGACCTTTCAGTTACAAGGCAACCATTTAACCATTGGGAAACGACCCGGTGGGTGCGTACTGCTGAAGAGTTTCGAACTAAGACGAAACAACTGTCTAATACTCTCAGGTTTTTCAATGGTTTTCTAACCAATGTCAGCTTATGATGAAATTACGTAACCAGTCGAATCCCTATAAGTCAACACTTGAACATTACAGTGCTTGCTAGACAGATCAAATGGATACAACCACAGGACAGTCATTTCTCCTGTTCCCAATCAGACCCTCATCTCAAACTGTGTGTAATTTGTAAATCGCGAACTCCATCCTACGTACTTTTGATTCACCAAGATAGATAGCCGAAATTCAGTTAGTATGAACTGATTTAGCTCTCTGAGCTGAGTACACGGCCGATAGGCTCGACCACAAACAAACGAAATGGCTACCCGGCGTTCACATCATTTCTTTCTGGCTAGAAAACACTACTGATTGACATGATAGGTTTTCAAGTACTCGCAAGAATCAATCAGTAGAATGTAACATCATGGTATTTCCTTGATCATATCTTGCAACCAGTCCATTTACACTAGAATGAGCCAAATCGGTAACAGGCTATTTAAGTATTTATGACTGAAGAGATGCAGATTTTAGATATAGAGACCATCTACTTTGTTAATCACCAAACACGTTCATCTCACCATTTCGACAAAACAGTAAGACTTAATTTATCTGAAACGTGTAATCTCTATTTGGGTGACATATTTAAGACATTCTGACCATATGTGCAATGTCATAACATGTTTATATTAAAAGACAACAAAGCATAAAGGATCAAAGCTCTTTTTTTGTATCAAATCAGGTCAAGATGTCTGCTGGTGACGATCAAAAATAAGAAATTGTGGAAAATAGGAGGGGAGGGGTTGGAAAGTGAAACATTATTAAGTCAAATAAACCATAGTTTTAAAATCCGATTACCAAGTTGGGTTCAAAGTAATTCCAAATAATTTTTTAAACATACGAAACAGGTTTAAACCTTTTTCTGGCTAGGACTTCAAAGAATTTAAATATATGACCTAAAACTGTTTTACAGATGGCTTTAAATGCACTAAGAAAGTCAACTTTATAACTCATCTCTATGATATGCTTTGCGACAGATAACGCTGTATATATATTTCTGAAGTGAATTGAATCAGGTGATTTTACTTCTTATTGAAGTCACTTAGAGAAATGTATCCTGCAGTTGTGACTCACAAAGATAGATGGGTCATCCCTATGTACGTGTGACCACATAATACATTCTGACACTATTGTTTAAATGAATCTAAAATTCATAGAGGGGACGAAGTGTCATTATTGTTTAAATTATTAAAGTCAGTTGTTAGAATAGATATGTCTTATACAAAAAAAAAGTAAATGCATAAGAGCGGATTTAACGTAATCAGAGTCATGGGTGTATTACTAGGATTACGTAACATTAGCAGTTTATCAAGGGTGATAACAAACTTCAGCATTCAAGAGATGTCACTCTAAATAAATTTTGATTCAGTAAATTTGTTTAAAAGATTTCATCAAGAGCTGACATTAGTTAAAGAACCATTGGAAAAACTGGGAGTACTGGACAGCTGTTTCGTCCTAGTTTGGGACTCTTCCTCAGTAAGCACCCACTGGGATTCGAACCCGGGACCTTCTGATTACAATGAGATGCTCACTAGTGACTTCTCCTATTCAGGTAGGTAGTTACCTGGGGTTCTAGTAAGAAGTCGTGACCAGTAGGGTGCAGCAGGTGGGGTGTGACGACAAATACTCGCTGAAGACATTGGCTAGCGGTCGCGCTATGTCGTGAATTGTCAGAATTTAGAATTCATGGGCCATTGGACTAGGTCCCAGTGGCTTAATGGTATACAAGCTCGCCTTGTAATCAGAAGGTCCTGGGTCCGAATCCCGGTTGGTGCTTACTGCTGAAGTGTCCCAAACCAGGACGAAACAACTGTCCAGCACTCCCAGGTTTTCCAATGGTTCTCTGGACAATATCAGCTCATGATGAAATCCTGTAACCAATCAAATTCCTAACAAACCAACACTTGAAAAGTGGTTTAAACTTAAGGGGAGAATTTCATCATCTCTGAGAAGAACATTCTTCGCAGCAATGATAAGAGTAGGATTCCCCCTCCCAGTCATCCACTTGTTTCCAGAAGTCTGAGGAATTAGATCTCGCGCATCTGACCATTTCTGTATGTATACACCAGTTTACCTGTTCCTGTGGAGCCAGGTACATTAGTACACGAGAATTCTATAGATCTGGAAGATAACAAAAAGTGAATGTGTCTAAACCGTTGAGAAAAATTTTTAGCCATATCATCAACATTCTAATGCTATTGACTCTTAGCGTCCTGAGGACTCCAACTGCATACTCTACATCTCCTTAAGTAGACAGCTCAAACCAAAAGTTAGTGTCTTAATGGATTGATGATATGTTTGGATTTGACCACATCTAACTCTGTTCCACCCTGTCTGTCTGTCTGTTTACGACATAGAACTTTGCACATATGTGAGGAAGTTCAAGTCACCACACTCCGTGTAGCACGCGAAGCAAGAGAAGAAAGTACAAGAAAAGCATAATAGAAACAGTGAGCAGAGGTGTGAGACAAAGGAAGAGTAGTAACGAAGAACAAAACAGTTTCAATGGAAATCATAGGCCACAGGGAGTGGATGCATCTGCGCCACTGAGAACGGTTTTGAGCTATGTCACCAATTGTTTCCAACCATTTGTTTCTACCGTCCTGAGGACCCCAGTCTGGAAGTCTACACCTTCCTACGTGGCCTACACCAACTGTTGTGGATTTCATTGACTGGTGACACGTTTTTGTTTGACCTCCACTAGCTCTTTTCCAGCCTGACCCTGTATCAGCTAACATTGCTCGTCGAGGGAGGCGATGACCAGGCATACGTAACACATGTCCTAACAACTCAGTCTTTGTAACTTCACAAATTCGTCGATTGATTTCCCCTGTTTACCTAGAACTCGACGCCTAACTTGTTCCACCCTACTCTTATGCCAACTGGTTGTCAAGGTAGGTAGTGAGTCGGGATGAGTAAGTAACACATGTCCTAGCCATCTCAGTCGACGTAGCTTTACAATCCCACAGACTGATGTCAAAATTAAATATTCAATTTTGTTTTATTAGGCTAAGAAGTATAATAAAACAACAACAAAAAACACGAACGATAAACAAACCACTCAATCGTCTATCAACATTAATTCAAATATCCACAAGTATTTAAGAAAAGAAGCGAAAACATCCATGCAAGACTTACTAATAATGGTGCAGGAAGTGGTCCAAAACGTCGTTCTATTAACCAGGATTCATGAAGTTTATGCAATTCTTCCAAGTATTCCTGTAGAAATCAATGAAATATTCACATTTTAAAGGAACATTTTATTGTTTTATAATGCTTGAGAACCAATTCTAAAGTCACTTTACAAATCCGTTACTCTATTTGATACTGTACATTGAAATATTCATGTGACCTAAGAATTCGAATTGAACAACAAACCGGGTTTCTTGGATATTTCAATACCAACGAGGGACGATGGAACGACAAAGTGATCAATATTACACAAGAAGAGATGGAGTGGACAATATCTTTATTTCAGAAGTTGTGTTCCAAGCCAGTATTACCGTTCACTAGTGATATGCATGTATTCAAGGGCTCTCAATATTTGAATGAGCGACACACAATCCGATGACCTTAAACACCTACATGCAGTTTTATTAGCTAATGGCTATCCCGGAAAAGTTATCGTATGTCACAATATGGCGAGGCTATCTCATGGAAAGACAGCTTCTGTAACAAAGTAAATTATATTTTAATATCAGTACAAAGCTTCCGCATTGTAGAATACATCAAATTAAGTATAATTATATTTCAATAGTTTACACACAATGATAAGTTTTGTTATTGGTAATATTTCGAGAAAAATTACTGCCCGTGTTCACACCACTGTTGGAATTGTTTTATTCACACATGCACGATTTGTACCCATATGCATAGTTCATTATTATTTTTTTGGCTCATTCATGTTTTGTATTCAGAATTATATTCCAAGTTGTTGATAGTTGTACTGAGTCACCCTTGTTACATGTATCCGGTGTGACTTTAATGAATATCGATTCCGTTATAAGTCTTTCTTTCCATTTGTTTATACACATACATACACATTGTTGATTGATTCATTGTATGAGATTTTTGAAACGAAGTCACCATAGGAAATCAATCAAGCCACTGAATCAATTAGTGACGTCACGTTGGAGAATAGCAAGAGAAGCCTGCAAGATTAAATTCTACGGAGTGTCTAGACATAGGCTGTTTTCCACGCCAATTCCTGAAACTCATCAGATCGACCAAACTACCTCCAACTTTAAAGAACCTGCGCCGCATCACTAAATCACAAATCGACTCATCTCAGAGACACATCACCACTTTAAGGTCAAATCTAGTGAAATTCGACAGTCTACTGGAAAGCCTTAATTTGGTGTGTCGTGTAAAGTTCATTAACTTCATGCAAGATTTACAATCGCAAACAGTGAACTCATATGGAAAAAAGCTCAGAAAATCTTTAGTAGTTCAACAACTACAAGAAGAATTTCCACAGTACCCAGAAAAATACGTATACAATTTATCAGATGTGAAACTTAACAAAATTGAACTGAAGCTCTGACCTTAGGAAATATGTATCACGTACCAAACTCGTTTATCAACAGAATCGATACAGAAACGCAGTTTGAGTGTTTATACAGTCAACTTTCCGACCTTAAACCCATAGACGAGGATAAAAGAGTCTGGTTCAAGTCCAAAATGATCGATATTGCAGAACAATATCAGATTTCTCCTCCAACACACTCAAAATTATTTACTAAAGAACACAGAACAGCAATAAAAAACCTACAAAACAAGGAAAACATCGTCATTCTCAAAACAGACAAAAGTTCAGGTGTCGTAGTAATGAACCGCCGAGGCTACATCTCTAAAATGAAAACCATTCTCGACGATACAATAAGATTCCAAGTCGATATGTCGAAAAAAGAAGCAACAACGGCCTTCGAAAATAAAGTAAGCAAGCACTTTAAAGGACTACTTAAAGAAGGGCTAATAGACAACAGCACTTACGACGACCATAAACCAAGGGGTTCGCGTGTACAATTCGTGTACGGTCAACCCAAGGTCCACAAAAGCGACGTACCATTGAGACCTATAATATCAATGGTGAAATCACCATGCCATAAACTGGCCAGATGGTTGGCCCAAAAGCTGGAACCCATTCGGAAAAAGCTGGCAGCTCACAGTATCAAAGATTCTTTCCAGTTTTCACAAGAATTAGATCAACTCGATATTACAGATAGACTTCTCGTGTCATATGACGTTTGTTCACTGTTTTCCAGCATACCCATCGAAGAAACGGTAAAAATCATATGCCAGCAGTCCGAACTGCTTTCTCTTCCAGAAAATGAGCTACGCAAATTGCTACTTCTGTGTACAAAGAATATTGAATTCCGATTCAATAATCAACTATACCGGCAGATTGACGGGGTGGCTATGGGTTCACCTATGGGTCCTGTTCTTGCTGACATATTCATGGCTCATCTTGAACAGACTCGAATGAAAGAAGAAATACATAGAACCACCTACTACTGCAGATATGTCGACAACGAGTTTGTGGTCTGCAATGATACAGAACGCGCGTCAGCAATGTTTGAGAAACTCAATGCGACTCATCCCAATATTGCATTTAAAAACAGTTCCATTTCCTAGATGTCAACATAAAAAGAAGAAACGACGGGACGATTCAAAAATCTATCTACAGGAAAGAAACTTGGACTGGTCAATACTTAAATTATCACAGCTTTTGCCCAACCAGCTACAAACGAAGTCTAGTTAAAACGCTCTTCAGCAGAGCCAAAGAAATATGTTCGGAAGACAAGATTGAAGAAGAACTTGCGGTCATCGAAAAGAACTTTATCGAGAATTGATATCCCTGAAAGTTCATATTAAAGTATAGAAATGAGGAAGCACACAAACCAAAACCTGACGCTGTTGAAAAGAAACCAGTTTCCATCTGCCTAGCGTACAAAGGGGAAGACGTATTCACAAGAACACAAAAAAGAATCACAGGTGCATTAAAAAGAACGTTTCCAGCAGCCAAATGATCCTATTTCACAACACTGTGTGCTCGTTAACCCAGTCAAAAGTAGATGAGTACTCTGCTCACGTCAACTTCAACTGCATTTACCAATGCACATGCACTTATGGAAGCAAGTACATAGGAAGGACTGAGAGGAGAGCATCTACTAGATTTTCTGAGCACATTCCGTACAAAAGGAAGAAAAGTGTTATCGAGTGCAATCGCCAGACATTTAATTGACACAGGACACACAGTAAAAATTAGCCACTTTCAAAATAATCAATACTCAAAGAAACCCATGGCTACTTCGCTTCGCAGAAGCCATTGCTATCAAGAGACTTCGACCAGACCTCTGTATACAGAAAGATAGTGTGACTAATCTTTCACTACCCTGGTAACCCTAATTCGATTTTTTTATTTTTGTTTTGCCTTTTTGTCAGTATGCCTGTGTGTTTGTCTTGTTACGAAACATTCTATTCAATTTTGACTTTCACTTGTTAAATCTGCTGAATTGTCTGTTCAAGTTAAAAAATGTTACTTCACTATTCACCCCCACCCTCTTAAACTCTCCACCACAAGATGTGTAAATTCACTCTGTTCTCTAAACTTGACCCTGTAATATGCCTCTGTATTTTCCAATAGAAAGCTGAACTCTAACCTCTCTTATCTAATTCCACTATATATAATTAGTTGTTTTTTGACACTGAAAAATCTGTCTACCTAAATCTAATTTTGGAATTATGTTCCTTATACCTTTTATCTATAACTCCATGTAATTATGGAAAACTATGTTCCAAAACTTTTTTTGAAACTTTTAATTTGATTTGGTTTAGGATGTATGCAGTTGATGAGTATCCACGAAATAAAACGAGCTCGTATTATCCTGCAAACATGTTCGTTCTTTCTCTCTTCAAATACTTGCCAGCTTTGATGTAAACAGTCTCTATACGAAAATACCCATTCAAACGGCCATGAATACACTGAAAGGAAACTAAAAGAAGATAATGGCCTAAAAGGCAGAACACAGTTATCCGTAGAAGAGATAATAAAAGGGATGGAATTCTGTCTGACAACAACATATTTCACATTCGAAGGGAAAATATACCAACAAAATGAAGGAGTAGCCATGGGATCGCCTATCTCACCAATAATAGCTGACATATTCATGGATTATTGGGAAGACAATGCCCTTAAACCATTCAGGTCATCACTAAAATGTTGGTGGAGATATGTAGACGACACACTAGTAATAGTGAAAAAAAAAACGATATCGAGAAACTCTTCTCACACATAAACAGCCATGTCGACTCAATAAAATTCACTATGGAAAAAGAGAATGAAATTGGGGAACTGCCTATGTTAGACTGCAAAATTCAAAGAATAACAGATGATAGCATAAAAACGATGCTATATAGAAAAACCACACACTCCAGAAGATTCCTTGACCATCACTCAGCTCATTCACTCACAGTAAAACGAGGATTAATACAAGGTCTTGCAGATAGAATACGTAGACTTACAACAACATCAGAGGACCAGTGTAAAGAAATAAACATCCTATTCAAAATGCTACTCGAAAACAACTACCCAAAAGAATTTATAAAAGATAATATAAAAAAGAGGGTAAAGCCGGAGAATAACAAGACGTAAGAATACAAAAAAACAGTCACAATACCATATAAAAATGGTACATCAGAGGCAATTCAAAGAAACATCACAAATATCAACATTCGCACAACGTTTAAACCGACAAATCCAATCAAAAAATAAAATAATTCCACTGAAAGATCCTATAAAAATGATGGATAAAACTAATTTGATTTACAAACAGATATCTTGTGCTGACTGTCCGACTTAATATGTGGGGCAAACGTCCAGATCACTCATAATAAGAGTGAATGAACATAAACGCCTAACCAAAAAGGTCAACCAACAGGAACACAAGCTTACAAGGATTTGGAAAAAATCGATAGCTGTACATGCATGGGACAAAAGCCACAATATCGATTGGAACAATGTGTGTATAAAAAAAAAAAAAAAAAACAAATGGAAAGAAAGACTTATAACGGAATCGATATTCATTAAAGTCACACCGGACACATGTAACAAGAGTGACTCAGAAATACAACTATCAACAACTTGGAATATAATTCTGAATACAAAACATGAATGAGCCAAAAAATAATGAACTATGCATATGGGTACAAATCGTGCATGTGTGAATAAAAAAAAAAAACAATTCCAACAGTAGGTGTGAACACGGGCAGTAATTTTTCTCGAAATATTACCAATAACAAAAAAACTTATCATTGTGTGTAAACTATTGAAGTTATCTTTATGAAGCTACCCCATTCAAAGTTGATCAGAATCGGAGGTGCAAATGACAGATCAAAGCTTCAGTTAGCTATCATGAGCATATTCTACGCAGTATGTTTTTCCCATACATCTAGAACATTTTCGATTCCTGTACTTACGATTAAAGGATGAAATTTTGTGCACTCTACTTCAGTCTGTATCAACAAGTTCATTAGCAGCTACGGTGACATATATATATATATATATATATATATATATATATATATATATAGAAACAATTGAATGTTCCAATGTCGTCGAAAAGTGTTTAGAGTGTAGTACATGATACACCAACTTATTGTAAATTCATCACTTACGGATACTGGTTAGACAACCAGACATCAGTGCTCTGTGTTAGCAGTATGCAGTCATTAAACAACAAGGAATTGAACCAAGGACTTTCAGATTAGGACGTAAGTTATAACATTCAATTACTGGGACAGAACACAATCGTCTGTGAAGTCTTTGGTAACTAAAAAGAATGGCGACCCAAATCAAGGACTAGTCCCATGTTCCGAGAAAACTGACCAGATAGTTCTTTATTTAGTAACCATTGTATTCATAAGCTACTACGCGGTTCTATGGTGATCTTTCTTCAGTTAAAATACATTTTAAGAGTTAGTCAAGATTAGGACGACGGTTTGATTTGGGTTAGATTTACAATTGATGTCCGGTAAAGATTAGAATTTAGGGTTAATTAAGGGTCATATTTAGGGTAGCACCTGGGGTTAAGGTTATTCATAGGTTGAGGTTTTTTACACATAAGGCAACTAGTTTTTATTAAAATCCAGTATTGCTTTGGTTTTCTAACCCCTTGTGATTGACATTCATCTTTCATTACCCCCTTCAAACTTTCACATCAAGTTTAAAATAATTACCTCCTTTAATCTCCTTTCGTTAGTATGTTGAATTATATAAACAATAACAGTGAATATATAGTGAATATGCGTATAACCATGAACATTATACAGCTTTTCAGGATGAAATCGCTGGAGAGTTGAGTTACTTGATTGTCTTGATAGCGTTGATATAAAGAATAGACCCATGTTTTCCCTAGATGTTGAATCTTTATTTACAAATGTACCTCTTTTACAGACGGTTGACATTTTATGTGATTACATCTCTGACAACGAACTCCTTTTACCAGTATCCATACCTTACTTAAAAGAGTTACTGCTTCTTCGTACTAACAATGTTCAGTTTACATTCGCGGGCGAGCATTACCGCCAAATCGATGGGGTTGCCATGGGAAGCAGCCTAGATCCATTGTGAGCTGATATATATATATATATCGCCTGTTGAGAAGCTATTGAAGAAAGAAATTGGAAAAGCTTATTTTTATAAAAGATATGTAGATGACATAATAGTCATATGTGATAAACCGTCAGATGTCATAGAAATCCTAAACCAGATCAACAGAGCACAAAATAGTATATCGCTAACTTATGTTAAGGAGAATAATGGACGCCTGCCATTTTTAGGCGTACTCATAATCAGCCGAGAAGATGGGTCAGTAAAACGATCTGTCTACAGAAAGTCAACATGGATGGGACAGTATCTAAATTATCATAGTTTCTGTCCACTACAGTATAAAAAAGCGTTGGTCAAATGTTTGTTCAAACGCATTCACCACATATGTACTGCTGATACAATTGAAGAAGAAAGACAACACCTCACTGAAATACTGTTAGATAAAAACTACCCACTGAGATTTATTAGACGTTACGGAAGTGTCAACCATAGAGCTTTACCAATCCAGTCAGCTCCCAAAAAAGATGTTTACATATCTTGCCGTTCAGAGGTGATCAACAAAGTCTGGTCACTAGACAAAGACTAAAGGCCGCAATTAATAAAACCTATTATGCAGTTAAACTTATCTTCATAGAGAAAACGAGAACTATGCTATCCTGTAAACCCTCACATTATCCGAACGATAGTGTCACATCCCACTGTGTTTATCAATTTACATGTATGTGTGGGGACACGTACATAGGGAGGACACATCGGTCTCTGCAGGTTAGGGCTGCAGAACACATTCCAAAATGGCTACAACAACAAATGAAATCGCCAGACACAAAATTGACCTCGGAAATAGATATCCAACATGATCTATAGCGAATCATATTATAGAGACGGGTCACAAGGTTGATGTCAACAATGCCTTTAAGTCGATATATAAAACAAGGTTGGGCCACATTCTTAAATTCGTTGAAGCCTTAGCCATAAAAAGACTTAAACCTGTCTTATGTGTCCAAAAGCTATTTGTTATCACCTTAAACCTGCCTTGGTAATCCAAGCTAGAACCACGGACCAATTTACTTCATAATATTTTCAACCCCTTCTTTGCCTTGTTTTTTCTCTTTCTCGCCCACACCTCTTGCGTCTCCCTATCCATTATTTGTGACCTTGACCTGTACACAATCTGACTTGCATTGTAATTATTCATGCCTTTTATAAAAACTGTGTATGACAAGTACGTGTGTGATCAGAATGTCCGAAATGTGTTGCGCCAATACATTACACGTTTCAGGTAAACTACATCTTCTTATTGTGTTGTCGAAATAATTCATAAAGGGAACTAATTGCTTTAAATTCTCCAAAAAGGCTATATCATCATATTACGTAGAACGTTGAAGGCTGTTAGTAGGGTTAGTGGTATGCCTTTGACTTAATTATGTGACATTGTTGTTGACAAGCATTTTGTACGCAGTTGGCTGAAATTATCTTGTCTGATTCCGAGCATCACTTTTATTCGCAACTTTTTCCTTGTATATCTCCAGGTGAAACTAGAAGAAACTTCACAAAAATGTGTGCTTGTAAAGCTAAATATAAATATTCAACCATTTTTGTGTGAAGAATCACATGTCAAAAAAGAACTTATGAACTTTTTAAAATCAGTAACTGAACTGCAAAGTATAATAGATAATTATTACAAGTATAGGAAGAAATACGTGTCTGCTTTCTACTGCCAGCCATTAACAATCAAACTAGCCATTAATCAGCTAGCAGAATGTAAAATTAATGCTTTGATATGGTTCAGAGACATAGCGCATGGTGAAAAGCATTTCCAACAGGCTACTGCAGTCTTTCAACAACAGCTGAGTTCGTTGGTACGATACTTAAGATCAGAAAAAATAAGCAACAAGTAGCTCTAGCAACGAACCAACCAAGAAACGATCACGCAACAAATATGCAGGAGGGAGCAGAGGATAACTGAACATACTACGAGTGGACCACTGAGTGACATTGCGCACCAGGTCCCACAGTGGAAATCGAATGCAGAATGACGAATCAGGCGTCGCTTTAAGTATGACACAGAGGTGATCATGTGAGGAGGAAATGAAAGCTTATGAGTCATTGTGGAATCGGTTAAAAGAAAAGAGAATATGGTGAAATGGGTATGTTCTGCTGGGTCTCTTTGTTCCACTCAAAACACCCCAGGGAATAATCAGATGTAGACGATAATGTGACACACAAACACACACAAAAACACTGCAGAAAAATGTAAATTAAGTTGAATCAGCAAATAAACTATAAAACATTGGTGAATAAGTTAAACACTGAATCTATACACGCATTAAATAGACAGTAATACAGTTGCATATCTTTAGGTAATTCATGCAATCTTAAAACCTACTAGAGGAATGTCGCCTTCACCAGAACGTTTACGGGCTCGTATACGCTCCATGCATACAGTTGGACTGGCACGAAGATAAACTAAAGAGAATAAGAAAATAATAATTAGCGATAAGAAGTCTAGTAAAAACTGAAAAACAACAAAATGACGTTAGCATCTTATCAGGAGGTATAACGTTACTTTATACACTACTGATAGACTGATATTGTGGTGAGAGCTGGCTGCTAGCCAAAATTGGTAGGCAGTAATTTACGCCAATGTTTGCGTCACCAATATTGATCATGAGAAAAATAAGGACAAAAACTGACTGAACAACCAGTCACAGCAGACCTTGCGTAGGCGGATACAATTTGCAGATAGATAATCTGAACTTCAAGAAACGGCCACAAACAGATGAAAGATTAACTTTCAGCGAGAAACCACCAATCAGAAGACTGTGTTTGTTTGCTTGAAATAATGTATCATAATGTACATGAAAATCTATAAATATCTGTTGATTTCCTGAAAAAACGATCTGTTGCCAGATTACTAGCTTGCTAGGCTACTAGCTTTCTACTTTTCTAGCCGGTACCAAGCCCGGGTAAAGAGGGAGGGTTGGGGCGTGGTGCTAGCAACTCCACCCTTGTAAAACAACCAAATCGCTACAGAAACTTCAACGAATAAATGCATTAAAAATTCTAAAAACATAAACAATAGCCTTATTTTTCGCTGGAATCGGAGAAGTGAAATGACGCAGGCTGGTGAAAGCCTTCGGGAAGCCAGTCAGCCGATGTGCCTTCTTTCGATGAAAGCAAAAGTAAGGATGGGTACCTGGAATGTTCGTACAATGTACGAAACTGGAAAGGCTGCCCAGATAGCCGCTGAAATGAGAAGGTACAGAATAGAAGTGTTGGGAATCTGCGAAAGCAGATGGAACGGAACTGGAAGGTGCCAACTACCAACTGGAGAGACAGTAATCTATTCCGGCCACCAGAGGACAACCACGAGCACACCGAGGGAGTGGCCATCATGATGTCACCAACAGCAGCCAAAGCTCTCATGCAGTGGGAACCAATCTCCTCCAGGATAATGACAGCCAGGTTCAACTCAAAAGGAAGGAAAGTTACAGTCATTCAATGCTATGCGCCTACAAACGTCTCAGAACAAGAGAAGAAGGAGGCGTTCTACAGACAACTACAAGCAATAATGGACAACGTCCCAAATGGCGATATCAAAATCCTGATGGGCGACATGAATGCGAAGCTGGGACGAGACAACACAGGAAGAGAACTCACCATGGGTCGTGAGGCCCTCGGTGAAATGAACGACAATGGTGAACTCTTCTCAGACTTCTGCGCCTTCAATGATTTGGTGATTGGTGGCAGTGTGTTCAAACACAAGGATATACACAAGACGACATGGATTTCACCAGATGGAAACACCAAGAATCAAATAGACTTCATCTCAATTTCAAGAAAGTGGAGACGGAGCCTACTGGACACAAGGTCAAGGAGAGGAGCAGATGTGGGTTCAGACCACTATCTAGTACAAGGGACTTTCAAGGTGAAACTAAAAGCCTCGAGGATAGCTGGGATAGGCCACAATGCAAGTTCAACACTCAAACTGAAGGACACAACCACAAAAGACACTTTCACTGCAACTGTCAGAGCAAAGCAGGAAACACTACGCGACATCACTGAAGAATCATGCGTGGAAGAACATTGGAAGTCTCTGAAGGCGATTCTCAACGAAACGTGTTCAACGGTTCTAGGAAGAAAGAAGAGACAAGACAAGGAATGGCTCTCAACGGACACTTGGAAATTAATAGAAGAGAGGAGAATGGTGAAAGAGAAAATGATTCAATGCAAGGACGGACAGGAGAAGGAGACGCTGAGCTCAACTTACACAGCACTGGACAAAGAAGTGAAGAAGAGTGCTAGGAAGGACAAAAGACGATTCTACGACAACCTCGCCACTGAAGCTGAGAAGGCAGCAGGCAAAAGGGACCTGAGGACACTATATCAGATAACCAAATCTCTATCCGGGAAGAGACCAACACAAGCGAAACCTATAAAAGACAGCCAAGGGAACCCAATTACCAAGGAAGAAAAACAGATTAAACAATGGGCGGATCACTTCAAAGGACTCTTGAACCGACCATCACCTGCAACCCGTCCAGAAATACCAACAACAGCGCGCACACAACTGCAAGTTGACACCAATCCTCCAACGAGAGCTGAAGTCTTGAACGCAATCAAGCTTCTGAAAGCTGGAAAAGCAGCCGGACCAGATGGAATACCCCCTGAAGCACTGAAAGCAGACCCAGAGACGACAGCAGACATGCTGACTCCATTATTGCAAAAGGTCTGGAAGGAGGGAAAGGTGCCTACTGACTGGAGGAAAGGTTACCTCGTGAAACTACCAAAGAAGGGCGACTTAGGACTCTGCAAGAACTGGCGAGGAATCATGCTCCTATCGACGCCAAGTAAAATCCTGAGTCGCATCATCCTGGAGAGATTAAAGGACGCACTGGAGACAGAACTCCGACCAGAACAAGCTGGATTCAGGAAAGGCAAATCATGTACTGACCAAATTGCAACTCTACGCATCATCATCACAGAACAAAGCATGGAATGGCAATCAAACCTCTACCTCAACTTTATAGACTTTGAGAAGGCCTTCGACAGCGTTGACCGTGAAGTAATTTGGAAATTACTCGAGTACTATGGCGTACCCCAAATATTCATCAACCTTATTCAACAGCTGTACGACAACGGCACATGTCAAGTCATCCACAACGGAAAACTCAGCGAGGCGTTTGGAGTAAACACAGGAGTCAGACAAGGGTGCTTACTATCACCAATGATATTCCTAATTGTGGTGGACTGACTGGATTATGCGTCAGACAGTGATGGGAAACGAGAAGACAGGAATATCCTGGACCGACGTGAAGAACCTAGAAGACCTGGATTTCGCGCGTGGATGATTTATGTTTGATGTCACACAAAATCGAAGACTTACAAGCGAAAACCGACAAACTGGTCGAAGAAGCAGCCGGCGAAGACAGGACTCCAGGTGAACATAGACAAGACGGAGGTTATGAAAATAACCAACCAACAACAACAACAACAGCAACATCCAGAGCCAATCACCATCAACGGGAGGGATTTGAAAGAGGTTACTTCATTCACTTATCTAGGGAGCATTGTCTCAACTACAGGCAGTGGAACGGACGAGGATGTCAAATCGAGAATCGGGAAGGCGAGAAACACATTCATCAACCTGAAATCAATCTGGAAATCTTCGTCACTCAGCATCAACAACAAAATTCGGATTTTCAATACAAACGTCAAGTCAGTCAGTTCTTCTATACGGATCAGAAACTTGGTGGGCGGGTCACAAAGAATATTTCCAACAGCCTGTTGCAGACCTTTATTAACAACTGTCTTTGCTCTATACTGAAGATCAGATGGCCGGCCGGAAAGAATCACCAACAAGGAACTATGGGAACAAACAAGTACCAATCGCCCAACAAATATGCAGGAGAAAGTGGAGATGGATTGGACACCCGCTGAGGAGGCCGCTGGGTGACATCGCGCGCGCGTCAGGTCATTGCTCTAGTGGAACCCGAAAGGGAAGCGGCGAGTGGGACGTCAGTGCAGGGGTGACACGGAGGAGATCGTGTGAAGAGGAGTTGAAAGAGTATGGACTAACATGGATGCAGGTGAAAAGTAGAGCAGAAGAGAGAAGCAAATGGAGACGTGAAGTTGAAGCCCTATGTTCCACTAGGAACCCAAGGGGACCATAACAATAAAAATAAATAATAATAAATGCAAGATGATGCTACAGGACTGGACTACATCGACGCCTAGTTTAAAAATAGGAAGTGAAGTGGTAGAGCACGTTGACCGCTTCACTTATTTGGGAAGTACCATCAGCCCCAACGGGTTGATCTCTGACGAAATCACAGCACGAATACAGGGGGCTCGTTTCGCATTTGACAGTTTACGCCGACTCTGGCCACTGAGAGTGGAAGACATGAAAAGACTAGCTGTCTTTGATCATAGGTGCCTGCGTTCTATTTCCCGTGTAAAGTGGCATAATAAGGTGAGCAACATGGAGGTTAGGCGTCGAGTGCTAGGTAAACAGGGGAAATCAATCGACGAAGTTGTGAAGTTACAAAGACTGAGATGGTTAGGACATGTGTTACGTATGCCAAGCCATCGCCTCCCTCGACGAGCAATGTTAGCGGATACAGGGTCAGGCTGGAAAAGAGCTAGTGGAGGTCAAACAAAAACGTGGATTCACCAGTCAATGAAATCTACAACAGTTGGTCTAAGCCACGTAGGAAGGTGTAGACTTCCAGGCTGGGGTCCTCGGGACGGTAAAAATCAATGGTTGGAAACAATTGGTGACATGGCTCAAAATCGTTCTCAGTGGCTAGCGCAGATGCATCCACTCCCTGTGACTTATGATCTCCAATGAAACTGTTTTGTTTTTCTTTATTACTCCTTTGTCTCACACCTCTGCTCACTGTCTCTATTTTGCTTTTCTTGTACTTTCTTCTCTTGCTTCGCGTGCTACACGGAGTGTGGCGACTTGAACTTCCGCACATATGTGCAAAGTTCTATGTCGAAAACAGACAGACAGAATATTATGTGCTAGAGGCATGCATAACTGATTGACTGAATGCTAAGGTAGAATTTCTAATAAAAGCAAATCAGATCAAGTTGCAGCATTCAGAAAAGTAGAGAAAATAAGTGTAATGAAACCAGAACAGACGAAATTGCATGTGAGAGAAAATTGGAAAGGTAACAAAATGTGGATATATCTCCATTACTGAAAATGATCTAAAGCCATGTATGTTACCGACATTCTTCAACTATTATTTCTTAGCATGCCAAACATCACAGTCAGGCGGCCTAAACCTCCCTATACGACTCAAATCAACATTCAAAAAACTTCATGAATTGATCCCATATTTTTATCTAACCATCCCCAAACTCTTTTTTTCAACCTATTTCTACATCATTTAATATTGTTTTTCGAGGATGGTAGTTGCTTGGCGTGCATAACACATGTTCTAGTCACCTTAATCTATGAAACTTCACGATTTCATCTACTGACTTTCTCCACTTATCTAACAACTGAAGCATAATCTCGCTATTACTGATTATATTGCTCCAACGAACATAAAACACTATGCAGAGAAAACTACAGCCAACGATTATGTTTTATGGATGTACAACAGAACGGAGTTAGCTGCTGTCCACTACATATGCTCTTTGATAGATAGCTGGGTATTACATCTGTGTTGAAGATGATACAACTTGACAAGTTAAACGCCAATATTTTATACTAGAGCTGATATTTAGTCAACATGGTCTTAAAGTCGGACAGAACAGCTGTTCACTACTCCTTGATTGTGCACTGATCTGTTATAGAAACCATTTCTAAAACAAACATGAATGACTTAGTGGTGAACATTACGTGATGAATTTACCACAAAGCTTTCAGTGAAGGATAAAAGCCTCAATAGAGTGAGGCATCTCCTTTAAAATCAGAATACATGGTAGGTATCCAGTATTTCAAATGAATATTTGAAATAACGTCGCTTAGTTTACTAGCTTGTCCCGATTCCAGAAAAGAGGGAAGGTGAGGAATGAGGCAAACAATCTCACCGCTACTAGAAATTCAGAGTATATGAGAGACAAACTAATGCTCCACTAGGATCTAAAAAACGAGGATGGATGATGCTGCAGGGTGAAAGTCTTCGGGAAACCAGTCGGCTGATGTGCCTCCGTTCGATGAATACCAAAGTATGTAATGAAGACATGGAACGGCGGCAAGATGTGTAGACTGCCCAGATTGCAAACGAAATAAGAATGTATGTCATAGAAGTGCTAGGAATTTGTGAAGGCAGATGAAATGGAAGTGAACTCTACAGAATGTCAACTGCAGATAACAACAGCAAGGATGCTGATGTAATGCTGAATTGTTTTTGTAATCACCCCAAATCAAACAGTGTAATTAGCATATGACAAATTTACGGATGAATTATTAGTCAATAAGAACAATAAGTAATTGAACATACCGATTAAATCAATAGGTATACTTTTATTTTTAAATACCCATTGAAATATACGAAGAAGTTCTTCATAGTCAGCATCTGAAATACTGCCACTAAAAAAGAAAACAACAAATGCATAGACAAATGCATAACTTCGTTAGATTTGATATCACACAATCACCACATACACTTACTTTTATTGTACAAAGAATTTTATTAAGAATGTACTCAATATACTTAGATAATTTGCTTAAATTTAAGAATGTAGGTCTGTCACACAGATGATATTATCCTTTCAGGTGGAAACGCTGATAACGCTCAGAGTCTTCTGAATACCTTGAGGAGAAATCTTGGTATGTTTAGCATGTAGTTCGTCCCATTCAAATGTGACATGACTGGTCTGTGCCGACTCCTAATTTAGAGGTGGCAGTGAAGTGGTTGAGTGTGTTGAGCACCTCAATTATTTGGGAGGTTGGATCATCCCTAATGAGCAACTGATTGCTGTCGAAATCTCAGCACAAATACAAAGGACTCGTGCTGCATTTGTTAACTTAAGTCATCTTCGGTGGCTATCGATCAAAAGACGTGTGTAATGAGCAGAGGTTCACTCTGTCCTTCCCGATGACTTTGAAACATGACAGTTGAAAGTGGAAGACCTGAAGCTGCCTCTCTCTGACCACAGGTGATTGCGTCTTATCTCTCAACTTAAGTGGTGTGATATGGTAATATTGAGGTTTAACATATATTGTTAAGTAAAGGGGGAAGCTTTATCTATTAAAATGGGGACGGAATGTAACACGCGCGCCGAGTCACCGCCTTCCTCAACAAGAAATGTTAGCTGACATAAAATTAACCTCGGAAACGATTCGTAGAGGTCAAATCGAAACCTGGCAACAATCTATGGCGTCTTTCACTATTAGAAACACAAAGGGAGATACAAGCTGTCTCTACTTGAGGTCCTCGACATGCCAAGAGTCAATGCTTTTAAACTGTTGGTGATATAGCTCGAAACCGTTTTCAATAGTACGGATGCATTTAATTTTTGTTATCTTTGAGTCTTTTAAGCTTTTTTCTTTTCTCTACCTTTTTGCGCGCCATGGAGTATGGAGAATTCAACTGTTTCACTTCTGTGCTATGTTCAACATTAAAAATCAGTCAGTTTACACAATTTAAAGCGCTAAGCCAACCAAAAACTTATGTTGTCTGAACTCAGTTATCCAGATTACATTTTTCATACACCAGACTACGACCTGCACTCATTGTATTAGGGGAAATGATACTACCCAGTTTGAAGTAAGTGAAAAAATTCAAAAGAAATTGGAGTGAAGTAAAAGCCTATAAAGTGTGGAGCTGTGGTTCATTGGTCGATAAACTTGAATTCCAACCATCAGATGATGGGTGGGAATCCAGTTCCGTCTACGGATGTTTAGACAGCTTGCTAATCACTACACAACAGTAGGTGTACATCATTACCAGATGCATAGAAATGCAAGTTAGTTGTTGAATAACACCCATTGTGACATGAATTCTAATAGTTTCAAACAATAAAGTACTTTTTGAATCATAGGATCATAACGTGGTCAGTAAACCTTTCTTCCGATCGTACCAAATACTCAATAAGTAAAATAGGAGTGACAGGTAGCCGCACATCTATAAACTGCACATAAGGAGAATAATATTCCCCAACATAATCGAAACATAAAACTAACAGAGCCGGAAGAAAATGGTCAGATAGTTAGGAGAATACCTGTAGCAACCTCGAAATGTTATAAGTAACATGGCGGGAAAAAATGAATCATATTACCGAATTATGCCTAACCATAATTTTATACTTACACCTTGTGATTTTAGTAACTCTACCGTATCTACATCCTATTTTCCTTTTACAACAGTAAAATAATGCACCACACTATTAAGTCAGCACCTGCTAAAGCACAGCAATTACATGCCTATGTTTAACAATGTGTCACAAGTGTCTTAGCGAGAGCTTATAAAAAATCCAAGCCAATCTAGATCATTGTAAGTGTAGCAAAGATGTAAAAGCGTGAAGAACTACTTAAAAAAGGACTACTCACGTCAGTGATATACACACAACCTTTGTGTGCTATATAGAGTATGACTACCTGAATTGCTGTACTTCTGTGCAAAGTTCTACGAGGGAAACTCTGTCAGTCAGATTAACATATACTCAACTGTCGCTTATCCAGTACGTTTCGTAAATCCAACATCCACTGATTCGATAGATTATTATAGTAACATTAGTCAATCGGCTTAGTCTGGTGTGCTTTTTACAAAAGGATTGTTTTCCTTATTTTGAAGACCAAGATAAAGAATTATTGAAACTAATTAGGTGAAATTTAAGTAGTAAAGATTCTATTCATCTAGGTACCAAATATGTTATTATGTTCTGGGTAAGTTTTTTCGTGTACACCCTTGAGAGTCATTTCATGCTCAATTTAAGTAGGGTAAGAAATTCAGATAAACTATGAAGGGTTTCTAAAATTTGGATCACCAAGACATAAGGCTTAGATAGTGTCAAATTTACTGTGATCATCATAGAGATATGGTTTATTGGTTTAAGCACTTAAGACTGCCAAGTCCTAGTTTCAAGCTTCACTCCAACTACTTAAACTTAGGGAACTAAGTAGTAAATGGGGAAATTCAAAAGAAATTAGAGTGAAGTAAGGCCTATAAAGTGTGGAGCTGTGGTTCGTTGGTTAATACACTAGAATTCTAACCACCAGATGATGGGTAGGAGCCCCGGCCGGCAACTGCTACCTTGCCGTGGTGGTCGGGCTTGAATACTGCAGTGACTCAACAAGCTAAACTGACTGGGACTCATGTTCCCGCAGGTCCTACCATGTCAGGAAGGTTGTTTGGATAGTGGTTAGACTAATAGCAGTTACCATGGGGTACATGGGCTCCAAAATCCAATCGGATCAAATGGTGTATGAACCCATATGGGTCACCGGATCCATGGGAATGCAGCTCCTGACGCTGCTCCACTGCCTTGCGGATTAGACTCCAAGTCAAAGGCTCAGGGGGTTGTCCCTTAATAAAACCACCTGCTTCGGTCTGGGCGCCCCGGGCAGTATCTCAGCCCTTACACAACAAATGTAGTGTGGTGCATCTTTCTTGGTGCCATATTGTACCAGGTTTTTTATGCGTTTAAATAAATAATAAAATAAAACTAAGCAGTAATATTAACCCTCACACAACAAATGTGGTTCAGAGACTGTTACATAAAACATCTGTTGTGAGTTACTGAATTCAAACATTTTAAACATCGTCATTAACCTTAGTAAAAGGCAAACTATGGGATTGATTCCACAAATGACGATATGTTCGACGGTTCTGAATATGATTAGTTATTTATAAATTATTGTATTAGGTCCTGAGTGGAACGCAGGATTTCAAACAGCTTATTTCCATTTTGTCCTGCTGTCTGCAGTCCTCTTTAGCAGGTCCCAGATTACGCATAAGCCGTCACCTCCTTCACACACGATCTCCTCCATGTCATCCTCGGACGCCCAATTATTTATATCATTAGTGTTATTATCGTTATTAACTGTTTCTATTACTGTGTAAATACCATTGTGTTAGTTAATCTGACCTTCAGATCAATTATTGTTTGTACTTATGTTATCCAAGATTTCTAGACTTCAGTAGTAAGATATAAATTGAAAATCAGTCACATCCATTGATTATAAACGAAGTTATATCTCAATGGTTAAGCATTAGTTAGCAATGATCTGCGAGGGGACAGCAGTCACCCTGTTTGATTTAGTTTTTCACTATTACTCGAATTTATTGCATACATTAGATTGCTTGTTGGAACCCAACTAACTAGTACAAATCCTGTATGTACCAGGCTATGTATGAGGTACACTTATCAAGACAGCCGATGATACCACTCATTTGTCCAGGCCAAAGTAGGTGGAACGGGATTCGAGCCTGGGACTCACTAGCTACTAGTCGAGTCCTTAAGCCAATGAGCAACACCAAATTGGTCTTGTCATACAGTTAGTTATCATTCGAACTTCATAGTGTGGAAGATCACATTAAGTAATATAGCAGAAGACAGTTTTTTTAATCCAATCATTTAAAGAGGTATACACATAAGCCAACAAGTTAAAAGTTCAAACCAGGATGACTTTTATAATTTTTGTAATGAATGCATTCGTGATTTACTTCAATGTTCAAAATAGCTCTATCAAAAAATACTTACTTATTATGCATATTTTCTGTGAAACAATATCGACTACTATAGATGGATCTTTCAAGCAGACGTACTGGTTTCGTCTAAATATTAAAAAGTAAAGACAAATATGTAGTAACAATTCGTCAGATATAGCATAATGAAATAATAAGAGTATAAAACATTCCCTCGGTAAATATGTCATTAACATTCATCACTTGGTACTCCTGCCTGCATGAGTGTGTGGATGCCCCTTTTTTTGTCGGTTATGTTTATTGAGTGTGTTTTTTAGAGCTGTTTTTTTGTATTCATGTTTCTTTTTTTCAATGGTATTCCATCCAAATAGTCATTAAATTATTGTTGATTTTGTTTCCTGGGCATTTCTTTCTTTTGACAGCTGTGCATTGAAGTCATTCAGTTTATCATCAATGCAGATCTATGCATATAACAAGTATATTTCAAAGGAAAAATATATGCATGTACTAATAAGGTCACAACTTAGTTCACTGACTAACCCAGTTCCCCTTCAGTTAGAAAATTTGGTGTGTGTCTATCTAGGCTACCTAGCATGGTGGCCACATTGCAAGCTTGACTGATAGAATTCAGTCTGCACCGAAGATAGGACTAAACACATTACACTAGTTACTGACTAGTGTGCAATCAAAAATATCCAATACAGTCTTACAGGAGGTCGATCGCGAGCCTGAATAGCCCAATGGTAACGTCTCTGATTGCAGCATTGGGTGACGCGGGTTCGAATCTCAGAAGGGACATGAGTTCCTTCAAGGTTGCAGATACGCCTTGCTGATTGGTGGACGTCAAGTAGCACAAAACCTAGGTCGAAGGCTTCCTGTGTCCGATTGCCTCCAACTATCTAATATCATCAAGTCATATTCAACTATCGATCAAAAGACACGTGTGCGCATCTCAGCAATTCACTCTATCCCTGCCTTTATGACTAAAAGGACATGGCCACTGAGAGTGAAAGACATGAAAAAACTAGCTGTCTTTGGCGACAGATGTTTATATTCTATTTCCCGTGATAACTGGTATAATATGCTAAGCCATAATGAGATTAGTCGTAGTGTTAGGTAAAAAGAGGTAAGTCAATCGATGAGGTTGTGAAGATACATCAACTGAGGTGACTAGAACACCTGTTGTGCATACCGGGCTTGAAATCGCGTTCCTTAACAGGCAATGTTAGTCGACACGGGATTAGGCTGGAAAAGATTTAGAGGTGATCCAACTATAACCTATCACCAATCCATGAAGTATTTAGCAGTTAGTTCGAGCCATGTTGTGTAGTATAGGTTGTCCGGCTTGGGACCTCAGGAACGTATAGCCAGAGACCTGTGGTGAAATGTATGGTCCAAAATTGTTCTCAGTGGCGCATGTGTATTCACTCTTTGTGATCTTCTACATCCACTAAATTCTCATGTCTTTCTCCATGCTACTATTCTCTTCCTCCCATATTTCTCCTCATCATATTCCATTTGGAGGGTGGTAACCTGAACTGCTGCACTTCTGTGCAAATTTCTATGTAAAAACTCAGTCAGTCGTGTCTGTCTGGGTTTATCTAAGCAATCAAGTCAGACGGAACTGTCATGTATTACATGCAGTTCACCACTTTATTACATTACTCTCTTGTTAATATAATTAGGCATAAGCTCAGATTGACACGAAAACTTCATCACATTGTTGAATTGTCCTAATTTGGCAGAATTCTTGGTGATGATTGTATTTTCTCGTCTGATTATATTATCCTTAATGCCTATAGACTTTATATAATTTCAGCAAAAACATTATTTTCTATGTCAACCGTGGGTTTCGCCGCTTTTCGAATATTTGAACAAAGAAAGAAGAAAAATTAGCACAGAATAATCTGGATCCATTTTATTTCGTTGGTTCTTATCAGCTGCGTTCAACGTGAATTTTTAACAAAATAAAAATGAAAAGTGTACAAGTTTGACAAACCTTTGTCCATTAGCAAGCATATTGTCGGAGCGTCTTATTAAAATAAGGCGTTGCGACTTACAGGGTGTCTAAAGTGCTACGACATATATATATATATATATATATGTCTTGTTAGAGAGACGTTTCTTGAGAAAAAATTAACTAACAGTTTTGTTGGGGTGGTAACAAAAGACAATTAGTTATAGGTGCCTGCGTTCTATCTCCCGTGTAAAGTGGCATAATAAGGTGAGCAATATTGAGGTTAGGCGTAGAGTTCTAGGTAAACAGGGGAAATCAATCGACGAAGTTGTGAAGTTACAAAGACTGAGATGGTTAGGACATGTGTTACGTATGCCTAGTCATCGCCTTCCTCGACGAGCAATGTTAGCGGATGTAGGGTCAGGGTGGAAAAAAGAGCTAGAGGAGGTCAAACAAAAACATGTCACCAGTCAATGAAATCTACAACAGTTGGTCTAAGTCATGTAGGAAGGTGTAGACTTCCTGGTTGGGGTCCTCGGGACGGTAAAAACAAACGGTTGGAAACAATTAGTGACATGGCTTAAAATCGTTCTCAGTGGCGCAGATGCATCCACTCCCTGTGACTTATGATTTCCAATTAAACTATGTTGATCTTTGTTACTACTATTCCTTTGTCTCATACCTCTGTTTACTGTCTCTATTATGCCTTTCTTCTCTTGCTTTGTGTGCTACATGGTGTGGCGACTTGAACTGGCGCACATATGTGCAAAGTTCTATGTTGAAAACAGACAGACAGACCTGCCTGCATACAGCGAATTGGCTTAGCAGATCCAAAGTTAGATATGCGTTATGATGTCACCAATTCTATATTTTGCAATACACTAAGTTGAATAGGGGCGCAGAAGCTGGACACGGATGCGATTATCACGAATATCGTTAGTTTAGCACCAACCACACTATACAACAGCTACCCGTCCCCGAGTCCGTTCTACCTAGGCGAGAACACACAAGGATGTAAGCAATAAAGTATATTTCAATGTCAGCCACAGCATATATACAAAAGAAAACAATGATATATATTTGGCCAGTGACGTAGGCGTGATAGGCGTCCATAATAGAATGTATACATAGCTAATGGAGTATGTGAGAGAGAAGATAACTTTACTTACTTTACTTTACTTTACTTCGGCTATCTCCTACGGGAGGATGAGCCGGCTTCATGAACGAGTTCATGAAGTTTCTTGGGAATTTGGTACGAGTGATGTCCCCAGCATCGCTCGGACCATAAGATGATAATCCATTGTTGATCTGCTTACATATCAAAGTCTGACTAATTGAGTTTCAACGTGGAACTTTTCGCACAACTGCAGAAGTTCAACTTGCCAAATCACGTGCAGATCACAGGTAGAGGAGAGAAAAAAAGAAACTCAAACCAACTACAATGAGCAGAAATACGCAGGAGGAAAAAACACGAGGATTAGTCTGTCTGGTTTCAACAAAGAACTTTGCACCGGTGTGCAGCAGTTCGATTCGCTACACTTCACTCAGCACACAAATCCAGAGAGGAAAGTAAAAAGAAACGCAAAATAGAGACAATAAACATAGATATGACGCAAAAAGAATAGTAATATCGAAGAACAAAATAGTTTCATTGGAAATTATAAGTCACTAGGAGTGGATGCATCTACGCTATTGAGAACTATTTTGAGCCGTGTGATCATCAATTGCCTACAGCCATTGATGTTTTCCGTCCCGAGGACCCCAACCACGAAGTCTACACCTACCTGCCTACGTGGTTGGTCTAAACTAACTGTTGTGAATTTCATTGACTGATGAAACCATGTTTGGGTTTGATCACCACTGGCTCTTTTCCAACCTGATCCTATGTCGGCTAATATTGACCGTCGAAGAAGGCGAAAGCTAGGCTAGCATGCAAAAAACATGTCCTAACCATCTTGGTCGATGTAACTTCACAGCCTCATCTATTGATTTCCCCTCTTCACCTAGCACTCGACGCCTAAACTCAGTATTGCTCACCCTATTATGCCATTACTTCACACGGGAGATAGGACGCAGGCAACTATGATTACACACAGCTAGCTAGCCTTTTCATATCTTCCACTCTCGATGGCCAGGTCTCACAGCCATAAAGGAGGAGGTGGGAGCGGACTGCTGAGCAGTACACACACCCTTTGGTCGATAGCCGGATATAACGCCTACGCCAGAGACGGCGTAAACTGGCATATGCGAAACTAGCTTTCTGTATACGTGCTGAGAATTGAATGGATGTGGAAGATTACAAAGATTGAATGCATTGGCGCCATTAAGAATGACTTCAAGCCAGGCCACCTGAAGTAAACAGACGTTGATTTTCAGCATCCCGAGGATCCCGAGACAGGCACCCATACTTCCTCATCTAGCTAATTCAAACCACTTACAAAACTATTGATGGATTGATGCCAGTTTCTGATTTTACCATCGCTAACTCTTTCCAATCTTATCTTAGGTGAGCTAACATTACTCGACAAAGAAACCGTTGGCTCACAATGCGTAACACGTGTGTTTGGTTGTCCCAATCCATGTGGCTTTAGACATTGACCTACTGACTTTTCCTGATGACCTAGCCAATATTACTCCAGTTAGAACCCGGTTGTTCTGAAAAGAAATCTTGTGCAATTGGCTATGAGATACACTTTTTGTAAAAAGACTCGTGAAACTGCTCAACTGGAGAGGAAATAGAAAACATCCAGTAATTGATTAAAAGTTAAGGGCTACAGCCAGAAAACTACATCTTCACATGGAATCAAAAGCTAAAAAATGACAACAAGCCAATCGGAACTTTAATGATAGCAACAAATACATGTGCCATTGAGGTAGGATCAGAGATATAATCTCCTATAGCCTCTAACCACTAAATAATGTTATCTTATTCCTTTTAATTAATAGGCCGACATTTTTAAACTCGTTCAAAAACGTTAGCTGAAAAAGAAAGTAATGACTGAATTCTCTCTCGCAGTTTATTTTTCATTGGCTTTTTCTTGCACCTTAAAATACAGTTGGTGGTAGCCAAACATCTGAACCATCTCCAAAGAAGAGAGTTTACAGTCTTTCAGGACAACTCACCTTTTTCACTTAAGATTCTTCTACGCCTTACAATGTGCGTGACTTTATCACATATAGACGCTGCGAAGATATCGATAGTCACATTTTCTAAGAAGCCTTTTAAATCCTTTACTTTTAGTCTCCACGTTTGGAAGACATATCTTAGGTAGGACAATATTCTAAGGGTCATATTGTTATATGAATCACATGAACAAAGGAAACAATCTGACAGCTACTTTTCGTAACTGAAACGTTTTATTAGAATCAGATACGGAAAGGGCTAACTATCTATTTAATAAATTGAATAATGTTTCTGGTTAAAAATGAAAAACAGACGTTAGATACTATCAATGCTGCAATCGACAGCTAGTGTATGACTATATGTTTTGAGGTCAAAATATGCGAAAAAACTCACAAGGTAAATTACTAAATCACATATTAATGCGTGCTGACAGAGCATTGGTAAGGCTTCGCATTAGAGCACTCATGCTTAGGTAATTTATTTGCATCTTGAGTAGAATGGATGTCAGTGAAGATAAACTGACCATCGAAGTAGGATTCACTAATCTACGTAAAGTTGTTGATGAGCTGCCTCAAATAGTGTGACCGAACTCGTAAGTTTTGACACAGACCCCAACAAGTAAGATCAGTTTAGTGACTTCCACTTTGAGAGGAGGCAGAGGGCGAGGATGAAGGCGGACCTGCCCTTTGAACCAACCAAATAGGTCTAAACGATAGAAAACCGATCCCAGCAAAAGTGATGTAGTGAACCTTGGTCACAGGTCCTCCTATAGATTTACAGCGAAGTGATCAACACTACTTTACTTTGTTGTTAACCACAACTTGAAAACACCAGCACACTGTAACACAACCGGGTTCAAGGCATTTAAGGTTCTATCACCGCTGTAAGATGAAAAAATGCACAGATGAAGATACGTTACGTACAGTACACTCGATTTTGAAATTAATACTCATCTTGACGGAAACTGGTACTATACTCGGTCTGCTGTAGAGATGGAAATATATACATCTGATAATCTGCAACTGAAGACTGGTAAATGAGTGTGATTCCCTGGGATGCTAAGAACCAACGGTCGAAAAATGTTAGTGAAACGTATCAAATAATTCCAACTGGCACAGACGTATTCAATCCTTGTGATCTCTTAGATTCTATAAATCTCCAACCAAACTGCAACAACCGCGAAAGAAATGAGAAGCAGCAGTATGTAACAGGTAATAAATCCCAACTATTGAGGCTTATTAAGAAAACGGGACCTGAAAGCTACGCTAAGTGAAACTACTTTATTGAATTGATAAATCTTTGGGAGGAACTAGAAAATTATACAGAAAATATTAAGTAGCAGTTCAAGTTACCTGTATCTGAAACACAATTGTCTACTATCCAACTCATCCTGAACGGGAAGTAGACATGAGTCCTCTAACTATAGTCGAGATTGTCGAAACTGACTCTAAACTAAGATGAAACCTACTGGTTTGGTTCCAGAAGTTTTTGAGGAGGGTTATGATGAATTATTCGTTAGATTTGATAGAACATTAGGTGATATACGGGTAGGCTATAGGCTCTGAAGAGAATGCACTGAACAGATTTTTACTCCCTGAGTTTCTAGAAAACATGCATGACATGGCTCAAAATCGTCGTCAATGGCGCAGATGTATTCAGTCTTTGTAATCTTTCATATTCCTTCCTACCATTACCCATCCTGTTTCACCCTTTATACTTGTCAAACTATTGATTCTCTTCACTCATCTTCTTGTCTATTTGGAACGTGGCAACTCGAACTGGTGCACTTCGGTGCCAAGTTTTATGTTGAATCCAGAGAGACAGACAGACAGACACAAAACATGCGCTTGGAAAAATACCGATCTGTAGGAAACCTTTAACCTCATTGATCAAAAGTTGCAGGAATGCTATCTGGCAGTGAAGTGTCGAAAAAATACATTGTGCTAATCAGTGCGCCCTACTCGAACACGCACAACTGCGACAGCTCATAAAGAGCTGTCATCCAAGTCGAATTCCGCCTAGAATTAGTTAAATTGTGGCTATAAAGCCCTTTTATAAGACGGAGGAAAAATATTCACGAGGTCAGAACCGAAATCATTAACTAAAATGTGATATCCTGAAGTGATATTTTTTAGTCTTTCTCCTTTACGTTTTCGATGGAACGTAGGGCTTCAAGCTAGAGCTTTGAAGTTTCGGTAGCAGTGGAGATCATTTTTACTGAGTGAGGCTGCTGGCCTCACGTCCAACCTTCTACCTTTACCGGCTTAGCGAGGTTTAGGAGTGCGCCGGCCGGGGATCTAACGCCGGACGACATGCGTCGTTGACAAGCATTCTGCCGCCGAACCACCGACGCAGTTGAAGTAATATCGCATCTGTGATTACGATAATTGGTGAAATTAATCGATGTTCGTCATCCCGAAGGACATTATTGATTACTTTGAGCAACTAATCAGAATTAAGGAGCAATAAGTCGTGTTATCATTGAAAACGTGAATAAAAATCATAGTTTACATAGCCTTTTATATTTCTAACTCTATTCTCTGGTGCATCTCGAAATCTCAACCCCCCCCCCCTCAAAGCATCAGTTACCTTGTCAAGATTCCTCCGCATATGCATGTTATAGTAAATCTAATTACCTTACTATTCACATAGCAGTCGAACAATTGATCTTTTTGGAGTTCACTTAGATACTTTAGAACAGAATGTACAATTCGGTTTCGTTGTACCACTTGAAAATATAGTTGGTTATCGAAAGTCATATGCTGAAGTGGTTGTCACAGCTTAACTCCTTATGCTGCTAACTTCGTAGGGATTAGACATTTCTGCCACCAAAGTAGTGGATCCTCTTTGTAACATCTGTTTTCTTGAAAGATCACACGGCTGTATGCAGTATCCAAGATAGGCTCCTATGTACACTTGATATAATAAGCTCAACATTCCTTTCAATAACCAATTCAGAAATATTAGTATTCACATGTTGGAATATATACATACCACTCAAAATGACATATCGATTCAATTTCAACGTAAAACTTTTAATATTAGTTATAACATTAAGGAAAAAGTGGAGATGAACGGAAGATTAATTACCGGCGGTTTTGACTGACGATCTAGCAATGTCACTAAAACTTGGGCCTGAAAAGGAACACACCAACGAGATGCATCTTGATACATAAGTTCCTAAACATATGAAACTGAGAAACTTCGGGTATTACAAATAAATCGTAGCCGCGAGCATCTTTCCATAAGTATAAAGGTTCGTGTAGCACTTCAGTTTTAGGTGACAGTTGCTGGAAGAAGCGTAAAAATGTCGACTTTCCGCAGCCTATATTCCCTTCGACCATTACCTAAGCATATAAATTAAAGCAAGCATTTTAACTAACAGTCCGAAACTCAGCTTTCGAAGTCATCGCGATTACTCCTGACCTCAAACTTGAATTTGAATTGAAATGTACCACACTCTAAAAAGGGTACTGTGCGATCATAACAGCTCCTTGCATAATTTTGCTCCCTCTATATTCATTATTTTAAATGTATTTCAGGAATAAATCTCTAAATAAA